GGTCATATTGTGAGTGAAAGGGGTTTAGAGATGGATAGAGTAAAAATTCATTTTATATCTAAAATGAAACCTCTAAATTCAGTAAAATAAATTAGATCTTTTTTGGGTCATATAAGTTATTACATAAAATTTATTCAATATTTTTTAAAAAAATTTAAACCTCTCACCATGTTATTATCTAAAGATGTGCTTTTTAATTTTAATGAGAAATGTTTTACAAGCTTTTGATTGGTCCTATCACTTTGAAATGATGTGTGATGCATCAAATTATGCAATGGGGGCATAATTATAATTAGATCTTTGAAATAATGTGTGATGCTCAATTAAATTATACCACAACTAAAAAAGAGTTATTAATTGTACTATTTTTTTTAGAAAGGTTTATATCATATATTTTGGGAGTTAAAATTATTATTTATATTGATCATGCAGCATTAAAATATCTATTAAATAAGAAAGATGCAAAGCCATATTTATTAAGTTAGATTTTATTGTTACAAGAATTTGACTTAGAAATAAAAAATAAAAAAGGTTTCGAGAATATTGCTACTGACCATCTTTCTAGATTAAGTGATACAGGAATAAATGCTGGACTTTTACAAGATGTATTTTTAGATGAACAATTGATGACAGCTCAACATCAACCATCACCATGATATTAACATATTGTTAATTTTCTGGTTTCTGAATAGAAAATATCATTTCTTTTCTAAAATTAAAAATTATTTTTGGCATGATCCAGATTTATACTTAAATAAAGATCAAATTTTAAGGAGATGTGTTCTTGAAGAAGAATATCATAACATTATTAACATGTGACATTCATCTAATTGTAAAAGACATTTCTCTGGATGAAAAATAGTTACAAAAATTTTTCAATGTGGTTTTTATTGGCCTACAATTATTAGAGATTCTATAAAATTTACTAGAACATTATTTCATGCCAATCTATAGATAACATGAGTAAAAAAGATGAAATGCCCATGAGTAACACATTAGTAGTCAAAATTCTTGATGTATAGAGAATAAATTTCATGGGTCCTTTTCATTAACTGAAATATATGAATATATTTTGTTTGATATTGATTATGTGTCGAAGTGGGTGGAAGCTATTTCTATTAGAATGCTCATAAAATCGTGATGAAATTCATGTGGGAAAATATTTTTTAAAGATTTGGATGTCCTAGAGTGATTATTAGTGATAGAGGAACACATTTTAGAAATAAATATTTCAAGAAGCTATTGAAAAAGAATAGAGTACATCATAGAGTAGCCACCGCCTATCATCTCCAAACAAATGAGCAAGTTAAAGTGACAAATAAGAAAATTTATAGAATTTTGAGAAAAATAATTACACTAAATAATAAAGATTGGTCAACGAAGTTACAAGATACATTATGTCCCCATTTCATCTCATTTTTGGAAAGCCATGTCATCTTCTTATAGAAATAGAACATAAAGCATTATGGGCTATAAAAAATTTATGTATGGATAAAAAATCAGCTAGTGGACATAAAATTTTTCAGCTACATGAACTAGAGGAGTTAAGGAATGAAGTTTATAAAGATCATAGAATATATAAAGAAAAAACCAAAACTTTTCATGATAAATACATTAGCAGGAATTTTTTGATGTTAGACAAAAAGTAGTTATATAATTTTAGGCTGAAATTATTCTCAAGAAAATTTAAATTAAAATAAATTAAATTTAAGGTAAATAGACAGTGGCTTAAACATTATATAGAATATGAACTCTTTGCAGAAAAATAAATTTTATTATTAAAAGAAATTCAAGAGTAAGATCAAGGTGTCCAACTATAGAAATTTAATTTAGCACTATATGGGAGGCAACCTATAACTTTTATTTCATTCTTTTTATTTTTTTTTAAGTTTTTTTTCTTAAATTTCATAGTACTTGTTTCTATATTTATTTATTTTTCGAAAAAGTGTACAAAGAGGAATGTAAGATGAAGTGAAAAATTAAAAATGAGATTGAAGTGATGTCTTTCTGAGCTTTATCATTTATAATAATATTTTTAATGCTTAACTTTGCATATATGCATGCTTCACTTGGAAATTATATTCTTTATATATTCTATTTTGATTTTTCTATGTCATTGAGGACAATGTCATTTTTAAATTGAAAGGTGAAGTATTAATTATTAATTTATTATGTAGGATGATTAAGAACATGTGTTTGTATTTTATTTTTCTTTTTTCATGCCCACTTAGAACAGCAACTAAAAAAATAAAATAAAATAAAATTTAGAAAAACTACATCTATTTTCTGATTTTCTGTCAGAACAATAAACTCTCAAAAATAGCAGACAATAAACAGCTCAAAATTTAAAATTTTAGAGACTCTTTTCTCACATTTCAATTCCCTAGACATATATTACTGAAATTCAAAGATAGTTTTGATTTATTTTTGAAAAATTTATTGTTGCTAAAAATAAAACTGAAAACAGAAAACAGAATTATTAGAACTATCTAATTTACAACTTTCTTACATCATATTACATACATGGAAAGTTAAATCAATTAGATTGATTGATATCAAAAGATACAAACAAGATTATTATTGAGTCAAAAGAATGATCTAGTAGCATGAAATGTTTGAATACTCCTTAGATACATGATAGATAACATGAATTTGATTTTATAGATTTTTACTTCATGATCTTGATGGATATTATTTACTTGATGTGAAAATTTGATTGATCACTTGAGTTTAATGAAGATTTTTTGTACTCTGATCTATAAGACTTGTGAGGAGAAATTTAGAAAAAAAGAGAGAGCAATGTGAAATATCGAGAAATGAAGAGTACACATGGAGGGTGTGATATATCATTCTCATTGTCGAAAATCTTATATAGAAAATTATTTGTTGTAAAATAAGTGGATAAAGTGAAAGGCCTAAAAATGAAAAGTACACATAGAGGGTGTGAGGCATCATTCTTATTGTCAAAATTTGTCTATAAGAAAAGTTACTCATCTACTTCATATATATATATATATATATATATAAGAAGAAATATAGTGTAAACTTGAAAAAATAAGCCATGAAAAAAAATATATAGGATCAATATTATTCTTAGATGAATATTGATAATTAGAACATCTTGTAAATATATTTGAGTGAAGAAGTGATAAAAATGTGATAGAAAAAGTGAAGTTTAGATTGTTATTCCAAGGAGTGATTAAATATTTAACTATTAGACATCATTCTTAAATACTTGATATAAGAATCTAAAGTGTCTAAAGGTGCATCATTTTTAATTCTATTTTTTATATATATATTGAAATATGATGTTTGAGATTTGTAAATTTTTATTTTCATAATTTCATTGCTAAGAGATTAACAATGATTTAAGTTGAGGGTGTGATAAGTCTTTATTATCATGAGTTAATAATTAGTAAATAATATGGTTTTAGCCTTAACTCATGATAAATAGACTTGTATTTATGTTAAAGTCTGAAAAGTGGTTTTCAATTGATTAACATAAATTTTTGAGTAATTATGTTATTTTATATAAATTTATATCATTTTTATAGTCTTACTTTTAAGATAAATAAAGAAAAAGAAATAAAAATAAAAATAAAAATATAAACAAAATGGGGGGACCTGCTGGCCAATTGGTCACGCAAGCAGGTCAGAAGCACAGTCAGGGGGGTCAGGGAGGAGCCGCGAGTAGGGGATCGAGTGGCTAGGACTAAAAGGGGCACATGTGTGCCACTCCTCTTCCACGTCACTAGTGGCCAGGTGGCTATGGAGCAAGGAGTGGTTGTACATGCACGAGAAAGGAAGTTGATTGGAAATGTAATATTACTATATATTCACTAGAAACTTCAGCGCACAAGTAATGTGGGACTAAACTTGTATCACATCTTCTCTAGAAATGGTAGAAAATTGACAAGGGTTTGAATCCTCTTAAACTCAGAATTCATATTTTTTATCTCATTACTGTGACTTTTTTGTAGATCGCTAGTGAAGAATTAAGCAACCAGAATCACTAGATCATTGGTAAAAATCTCATTACTGTGATTCGTTCAGCAACTTTAGTAATATTATATTTACAAGTCCCTTTCTAACGTATATATGACCATTCCTTGCCCCACAACTAGCTAGCCACTAGTGGCATAGAAAGAGAGTGGCGCACACGTGCCCCTATCGATCATAACTACTCGAGCCCTTACTCGTGGCTCCTCTCCGACTGCACTTTCGACCTGCTTGCGGGACCGGCTGGCTAGTGGGTCCCCCCTATTTTGCTATATTTTTATTTTTATTTTTTTTCTTCATTTATCTCAAAAGTATGACTGTAAAAATTTTATAAATTTATATAAAATCACATAATTACCTAAGAATTCATGTTAATCAACTGAAAACTATTTTTCACAAACTATATTATTTATTAATTATTAACTAATGATAATAAAGACTTATCAAGCAACTAAGGATAACACAAATATATATCAATAGTGGTCAATAAGCCATGGGGCAAGGAGTGGTTGTACACACATAAGAAAGGGACTAATTACTTTCGAAATGTCACATTACTATATCTTCATCCCAAACTTTGGTGTATAACTGATGTGAGACTAAACCTAGGTCACACTTTCCTCAGAATATTTTCTATTATTTTAATACATAACATATTATTAATTTATAATAATGACATATAATGATGACGTCACTTTATAAAGATATTCAAGCACTTATTTCACTCTCTCATGTAGAGGCAGCCGATTAACACAGATTTAAATCCTACTAGAGCCAAAACTCATACTTTTATTTGATAAAATCATAATTTTCTTACATATTCCGATGAAAGATTAAGCCACCAGAATCATTCAATCATCAGCAAAACCTCATCAACATGATTCGCAAAGTATTGTTACTAAGATTGTCAAACGATTCGTAATAGAAAGATTGCAAATCCATTAAGTAAATCATCTTTGATTGATCAACAAATAAGTCATCATTAGGAAGAGGACGATCCGCTAGGAGATGAGTTGCCACCTCCTGAGAGTGTATTGGATGTGATGAAAAGCCTCTTTTTGTTGCATGGACATAAGAATGAAGCTCCACCGTCATTCAACTCTTCTTTGTTTGGTGATAACTGCTAAAGAGTCACAAAGTCATCATTTTTTCACTCCACCAAGTGATAGTTATCAGAGATAATTTGATGACTTATTTTATTGATCTTTAGACTTCATAAGAAGAGAATGTAAATGTCGTCCTTGTCCAAGGAGAACCTCAAGGCCATAGACGTTATACAACAATCATCCCAAACACTTTAGATTTCAATACATCGCTGATGCATGGCCACCATAATGCCAAAATTTTACCTTTTCTACTTTCAACTTAATTTTTGCTTCATATAGAGATATTTCATGTCTTAATTTCATCGTTGATTTCAAAAACTAGTCTCTATTCAATTATGATTCTTCTGACTTATAAAAGTATTAATTTGACAAATTAAATCATATGTAATCACTTTATGTAGGAATCACCAGGTGAAACTCTATTTTCTTCTAATTTGTATTCGTCAGTGCTGACATCATCTTGATACTTGCACCCCTTATTTTTCTTTTTTGTAAATTTTAAATATATTGTACTTATAATATTTTAATCTCAAATTTATAAAAAATTATATTTTTTGATATTTTTTGTGAAATATTACTCGATATTAAATTACATTCATGTGATGACTTTTACACACAAAGACAATGGAGCATCACAATGGGGTTAAATGCATAGACAAGATTAATGAAATTGGTTTAATATGTTGAATAAAATATCATTAAATGCTTCAATATCTCAAATTGTCATGCTTTCACACATACAAAAATTCTAAAGAAAAATTTAAGATGGATGATGTAATTACTAAGAACCTTTATCGAGATTTTCTTAACACAAATGACTTATCATTTATTCAAAACGTAGAAAAAAATGTCTTCTAGTTCTATTCGATAGTGGGACTACCCAGAAATAAAATAGGCTATATTCCTAAATATATCTCTATTTAAAATATATATTCTTCTCAGATTCCTAAATATATATGCTTTTAAGGAAGTTGTGTTTTATGTTACTAGATTTTCACTTGTCTTTTGGATGCGAAAAATGTGTATATGTATAGAAACTTTCCAAAGAAATTTGTAGGCACACCCCACCTGGTTACACTATTTAAGAATAATATGCAGTTTTAAGAAAGCTCTATATGAATTAAAGCTATCTTCTGAAGCCTGATTTAATGGATTTGAAGAACATATTGATCACTTTTGACTATGAACAATGCATTGTTGATCATATGTTATTTAAAAAATTGTTTCATAACTAAATGGTATATGAGAATGATATGACGTGATTGCAAAATTTATGTAGACATTAAACTATCAAAGACAAAGGTCTTGGTAAAGATCTTAGTAAAGCTTAGTACTTTCTTGGCCTGAAGTAGCCAGATCTAATGAAGGGTTTACACTTTGGTGAAAACTATTTAGAACTCTTATTAAGGTAAACAATGGGCTATACAAACAATAAAGCATACTTATCATAGCTTGGAGACATGCGGAGATCTTTGTGTTGTTGGCAAAAATCTATACCCAGTGGAAAACCCTTGGGCCTACAATAGAAGTATCATCTATAGATCCGCCTAGATTATCTAGGAGGAAGATACTACTCCACTGATCCTCTCTGAACATAATGGTATAAAGTTTTTGAAAGGAAAATGTTTGTCATCAGCTTTTAGTATTGCCTCTTGGAGAGCAAGGGAACAATAAAAACTACTAGCCCAAAAGTGGTTATTTCTCTGTATGAAGAATTTACTGAACATAAATAATGCACAAGATCATGAAAAGAAGTATTTCAGCCTTATGCCCCACACAATAGCAACTTGAAAAGAAGTAAATTGTTAAATGGCCCAGGGCCATTTCAGCAAAAAAGGAATGCAACAGAGAAAAAATTAAAGGGGAAAAAATTCCACACCACTACAAAACTGGATAAGTCCACAGCACAAAAAGGTAAGCAAAGTTTGCTAGATTTTCAGTTTTACAGAATGCAACAAACAGTATATTGCTGAAAAAATTAAGAATAAGAATTACCTTCTTAGAGAAATGGGATGTCTTGGTGCTCTCCACATAAACTGCAGGACTATTCGAGCCATTGTACATACAAAGAACTTCTCTGGTGATTTGATGTTATTTCTTAATACTTTTATATAGGGCACCCACAACTTTATTGTCCCAAGTAATTTAAACTGAAAGTGGTGTTAAAACCTAAGTTCCCAACATACTGAAGCTAACTGGGTAAATGGATATCTTATTTGAGGTCGTATTTGAGAATACTTTAAGTTTTAAGGGGAAGTATCAAAACAAGGGAACATACCATCATGTGTGATCAAAACAATAACTCTTGCAAGCAACGTTGCAAAAGCTTGATATCATAAAAGTCAGTAAGATCATGACACCAAACACAATAACTGGTTTGTTCCATATTTATCAATGAATGTGCCCCAAAAAAAGGATGTCAAAACTCTTACAAACATAAAGAGTCATATATGAACATCCATCTCTTTACCGCTTCAAGTTTCCTTGAAGTGTTACAGAGGCTATCAGTGTCTTCTTAAGGAGTGTTAATCATCTGGCAGGATATTCCTACAAATATTCTTCCCACTTAACCCCATAGATCGATTTGTAGTTTTTAATTTGGAATTATCATGAACCATGGGGAAGGCCCTCTTAGTAAAATTATAATTTATAGGGATGGATAATTCATTAAGCCTTCCAGATCGACAATAATATCAGCACTTCATGCTACAGTTGAACAATTGAAAAAACAGCTGCAGAATATTAATCATCGATGCTCTACGTGCCCTTGCCATCTCCCAACTCTGACAGTCTACATTTTTTGTGTCAATATCGTGCATCTTAGTGGTGAGCTATCGTCAATTTTGTACCAATGCATCCATGACCTCATATCCCTTTTACTACTCATATGGATGCATATTTACATCCATTTGTGCATATTGAAGCAATTGCTCCAGCTCTGCCGGAAGGCATCATGTCCGGCGAACTCTTTGGCAAAACCAATCTAGGGATTTTCTTTCTCCAGGTCATTATTCTCCTTTCTGCAGGCTAAATCTAGGCTGCATATCACTGAGAGTTATAACAGCGAATAAGTGGCCACATTAGACATCATGTCAAGTCATTTGATAGCTGTTAGACTCACTCTTCTCTTCCAATAAGTGGCCACATGTGTTCGATAAAATGCAAGCTGTATATTTTCAGTTCTTGTATTCAATTGAGCATTCTTAATTCTACTTCCAATTTTTTGATGTACTTAAGGTTATTCTTGGCTTTGCAAAAGAGCCTTTGTTTGGTTCACGGGATCATGAAGATGGCCCAAAACAAGAGAGATGATGCAAGCACCTCTGGCAAGCGTGGGACGGAGATTACATCACCATCGCCGTCTTTTATGCTCAAGGAGATGAACTACCATGTCTAGGTGATGAAAATGGACGTATTCTTGAACTCACATGATTTGCTGCAGGCAATTGAAAAGTCAGATGAACTACCATCTTCTCTTCCGACGGCTGCTGTGGAGGAACATGATGGTTTGCTACTTCTAGGTTCCGAGGGATGTTGATACTGGAGCGACAAATCATATGTCCGTTAAAATGAAAGGATGTGGCGATATTCTGATTTGTCAAAAAGATGGTGGACTTCAATTATGAGCCAACATTCTGTGTCACGCGAGATTAGATGACCAAGGCTGATGCATGATGATGCAAGGAAGTATGTTCACCATTTTTTATTGAGGTGGTCATCTCTTTGCTGAGGTGCACAAATCTCAAGGAAAACTTTACTTGCTGAAGTTAATAGTGGCTGATCAGTGTTTACTTCGTACTGGTGACAGTCTTAAAGGAGATCTCCAGCATATCAGTTATCATCCTTAAAGGAGATTGCCAGCAAACATCTTGTGGACAGAATTCCTCATATCAGTGTACCTGATCATCGCTACTGTAATTGTGCTCCTAGAAAGCAACACTAGATGCCATTTCCTCAAGCCTCTTCATTCCGAGCATATGAGCTTCTAGAACAAATCTTTGCTGACATCTGCAGGCCAATTACTCCACCCACCTTAGGGGGAAGCAGGCATTTTCTCCTCATCATTGATGGTTACTCTTGGCTTACATGGATGGCTCTATTGAAGTAAAGACTCTAGGAGAATTCACTTCTGATGAATTTCTTAATTATTGTATTTCTCACAAAATTAAAAAAAAATTCCCGCACCTTACTCACCTTAGCAAAATGGGGTAATGGAGAGGAAGAATTGTAGGAAGAACTACTATTTACATTCTTAATTGGTCATTTCCTAAAAGTTTGCACGGTCTAACTCCCTTTAAGATGTGGACTGAAAGAAAGCCTCACATTGGGTCACTTGCGAGTTTTGACTTTATTTGTCCATGTGAAATGCACTAGAAAACCTTTGAGCAAGTTGGAGGACCAAAGTCAACCCCTGGTCTTCATTGGCAATGAGATTTGATCCAGGGCTAATAGATCTTATGACCCTATCAAAGACAAGGTGAACATCAGCCGAGATTTCATTTTCAATGAAAATGACAAGTAAATGGAGGTCTCTACTTTTGTAGGACTGAATTGAGCCCCTCAAAGCCACTCTAAAGAAAGTCAACCTCGCAAGTAATAGGATACTTACAGAAGCAAGGGATTGATTATGACGAAGTATTTGCCCCAATGGTTCCTTTCAAATCCATAACAGGTTTAATTGCTTGATGTCAAGTCCGTTTTCTTAAATGGGGGAATTGAAAAGGTGATTTATTTCAACTAGTCAGATGCTTTCATTGTGAAGGATAGAGAAGGCTCTATCCTACGATTGAAGGTCTTCTATGGCTTAACGCAAGCTCCAAGAGCCTTCGTGAGTGTCTAGTCTCTCTCAGATGTAACAAGAGCAACTATGAACAAGCTCTTTATCTAAAGAGATCAGGTAATGAAGTCTTAATTGTTGGAGTTTATGTTGATGACTTAATCATAACAAAGGCCTAGTCCCG